GCAATCAAGAAAGGATGGTTGATTTAGAGAGACATATATATAACTAGTGATGTCGAGTAACAGGAAAGCACATGGGAAAGAGGAGGAAAGGTAACGAAATTTGACTATTGACTTTTCTATGTCGATTCGGATTTCAACAGATCATTCCAACAAATAAAGTTGTAACACGTCACTTCTCGCCAACGAAGCTCCCAGTTGTGACTTGTGACCATTTTTCATTTTTACTACTACTACTACAATAAATCATTACATACATATACATACATACTATATATATAATTATATATCATCGTTTCATCGTACTTGTTATAAATAGAATTTTATTTAAGGTGAATATCTATATTTTAAAGAAATTTTAGGGATTATACTTGGTGGCTAAGTCACGCTTTCCCTGTAAATAGAGGGTCATATTCCATTGTAATTTATCTCAAAGCAATAACAATTCTCTCTCTCTCTTTCTTTGCAATATTCTTCTTTATTGTTTTATTTCATGTTATCAGCACGAGACTCTACCGTCTCAAGAAGCTCTTTGAGAAGACCAAGGTATAACTTTTTGTGACGACCCGACCCGTCGTCTCATGGGTTACCGCTCCGTTTCCCCCATTTTCTGCTTCTTTATGCTTCATTATCAGTGTCTTGTGTGATCGAGTTGGCTTGGATTGATTTTAGAAGAAAATGAGACACTTAATCTCTTTAAGGAAGGCTTAGTTTGGAAAAGTCAATCGGATGTTGGCTTATGTGTTAGAGGGCTCGGATATGAATTTCGATGATTCGGTTAGCTTCGGAGGTTGATTCGTGACTTAGGAGTGTGATCGGAAGTGATTTTGGAGGTCCGGTGTAGAATTAGGCTTGAATTGGCGAAGTTAGTATTTTGGCGATTTCCGGTGGATAGGTGAGATTGTGATACGGGGGTCGGAATGGAATTCCGAGAGTTGTTGTAGCTTCGTTATGTGATTTGGGATGTGTGTGCAAAATTTCAGGTTATTCGGAGGTGATTTGGTTGAGTTTTTGGTCGAATGCGTGTTTCGGAAGTATTGAAGAACTTAGGCTTGAATTCGATGTAATTTGATGGTTTTGGTGTTGTTTGAGGTGTTTTAATGATTGGAACAAGTTCGGATGATATTATGGGAGGTGTTGGTGCTTTTGGATGAGGTCCCGGGGGCCTCGGGGGTGATTTCGGATGGTTAACGGGAAGTTTTGAACTTGTGAAAAGGGAATAGTGTTGCTGCTTCTAGTATTTCCGCTTCTGCGGAATTTGGACCGCAAAAGCGAGGTCGCATGTGCGAAAGAGAGGACGCAAAAGCGAGTTTTGGCCTGGGCGCCTGTTTCCGCAGGAGAGGACGAGTGGCCGCATCTGCGAAGCCGCAGATGCGGGATTTTTATCGCAGAAGCGAAGTTGGGCCTTAGGGAATTTTCCGCAAAAGCAGAGCTGGGTCTGCAGAAGCGGAAACCACAGATGCGGAAATGGATCGCAGAAGCGGTTGGTCCTTTCAGTGATTTTCCGCAGAAGCGGATAGTTTGCCGCAGAAGCGATATCGCGGAAGCGGTTGTTCAACCGCAGAAGCGGAAAGGTCTGGGCAGAGGTATTTAATTCATCTTCGCGAATTTTTTAAGGGTTCCTCATTTTTAACTCGGACTTGGAGAATTTGTGGACGATTTTGAAGAGGGATTTCAAGGGGTTTCGATAAGGTATGGATTCTTGGACTTAAAACACGATTTTATGGTGTTAATACATGGATTTGGACTGAAAATCTAAGAAAAATTATGGGCAAAAATGGTGTAGGGCTTGAAACTTAAGAGAGCAAAAATTGGAATTTGTGGGGGTCATTTGGACTCCGATTTTGGTATTCTTCATATGAATAGACTCGTGGCGAGATAAGGAACCCGTTGATGTAAAATTTTCTGAATTTCGAGAAGTGGGCCCGGGGCTCGGGTTTTGCCAATTTCGAGTTTTTTAAATTTTCGATTGTTTTCGATTGGGTATTGTCCCATTGGCATATTGTGACGTATTCGTTCTGATTTTGGATAGATTCGACGCGCGTGGAGGCCGATTTGAGGGGCAAAGGCGTCGCGAGCTAGAGATTTCGCCGGTTCGAGGTGAGTAATGATTGTAAATGATATCCTGAGGGTTTGAAACCCCGGATTGCACACCGTAGTGCTATATTGAGGTGACTTGCACGCCGGATATCGAGCGTGGGGTAGAGCACCGTTGGGGGATTGTGACTTGGTCCGTCCCGATTGATGATTTTACCGCGTATTTGACTGAAACCTATTTGTTATCATCATGATTTGGGCTGATGGCCATATTTGGGCTTCGTGCCAATTATCTGAACCCTTCGGGGATTTTTATCACTGTTTCCTCACTATTTTGATATACTACTTGAACTCAGTCCTGTTGATTATACTGTTTTACAAACTCAGCCGCTTTAATTGAATTTTGAGACTTAAATGATATTTCCACTGTTGTTTGGGCTGAGCACTACTATTTTATTGATGCTCGAGGGGCTTATGATGTTTTCTGGACTGAGTGAGGCCGAGGCCATATGTAAGGATATGTTGAGTGATGTGAGGAGGTTTCCAGGCCTTGTGAGTGATGTGAGGAGGCTTTCAGGCCTCGTGAGTGATGTGAGGAGGCTTTCAGGCCTCGTGAGTGATGTGAGGAGGCTTTCAGGACTTGTGAGTGACGTGAGGAGGCTTTCAGGCCTTGTGAGTGACGTGAGAAGGTTTTCAGGCCTTATGTTATATGCCACGAGGTGGCTTGATATTGCGCTTGGGCCGTAAGGGGCCCCTTCCGGAGTCTACACACCCCCAGTGAGCGAAGTCGACGATATATGGATCGGGTTGCACGCCGCAGCGAGATGTGGATCGGGCTGCACGCGCAGCGGTTACATGATACTGTTCTGAGAGTGATCTGAGAGAGAGAGCACGAGGGGCTGAGAGTGTTTCTGAGAGTGAGCCCGAGGGGATGGTACTGTTTTGAGATATTGCCCGAGGGGCGAACTTTTATGTGCTCATCTTGCATAATTACTTGCCTTTTTACCTGTTATACTGCGGTATTTGTGCCCGAGGGGCAGATTTTTTCTGTGCTTATTAGCAGTAACTGTTTTGAAATCGTTTCGTAACTGTTGAAAAGATCATTTTCAAAAGATATTTAAACTGAGCCAATATATTTCTAAAGATTTCACAGCTTCACAGTTTTCTCAAAGGATTGTACCCTGCTTCTATACAGCATGTTGGTTGCTTTACGTGATTTCTTACTGCTCAGTTGTTATTTACCTTTATTACTCACTGAGTTGGAGTACTCACTTTACTCCCTGCACCTCGTGTGCAGTTGCAGGCATTTATTCACCCGGTAGCGGGTATTGGCTATTTGGAGGCAGAGCTGTAGTAGTCTAGCGAGGTGTCTGCCAGCGTTCGCAACACCGTCTCTCTCTATGTTGTTCATTATTCCTGTTCAGTGTATTTCTAGACTTGTAAATGTACTTACATTCTTATAGATGCTCGTGACTTGTGACACCCCGATTTAGGCTGTGTTGGGTTGTATTTTCGCTAATTAATACTATTAAGTCATATTTAAGCTGTTTAATTATGTTTAACTACTTTTGAAAAGACGAGTTGGGTTAGTTGGCTGGCCTCGTCTTCACGAGAGGCGCCATCACGACCAGTGCGGGGTTTGGGTCGTGACACTTTTCTCCTCTTTTAATTATGACTGATATTATGAAAAGAAAGTTCGTTGCCGTTGAAATTTCGGGCAAGAACTATATGACATGGGTGTTGGAGCTGAAATTCATTTAGATACAATGGGTCTTGGAGACGCCATTAAAGACAAAAATAAAGCATCTACCCAAGATTGTGCGAAGGCCTTGAGTTTCTTGCGCCATCACCTTGATGAAGGGTTGAAAATAGAATATCTCACAGTCAAAGATCCACTTGTTTTGCGGAATGGCTTAAAGGAAAGATATGACAACTTAAAGTTGATCACTCTTTCACAAGCACAATATGATTGGGCTCAACTGAGGCTCCAAGACTTTATGTCTTTTTCTGAATATAATTCTACGATATTCAGAATTACTTCTAAATTGAAACTCTGTAGAGATACTATCACTGACTATGATATACTTGAAAAAACGTTTACAATGTTTCATGCCTCCAATATGGTCCTGCAACAGCAGTACAGAGAGAAAGGTTTCAAGAAGTACTCTGAGTTGATTTCTCTTCTCCTTGTGGCTGAACGAAACAGCGACTTGCTTATGAGAAATCACGATAATCGGCCAACTGGGTCTACACCATTGCCTGAAGTGGATGAGGTGTATTCCCATTATGCTAAGCGTGGAAAAGGTCGTGGCCATGTTCGTGGCCGTGGCCGTATCCGTAGCCAAGGAAGAAAATTTCCTGGTGTTAATCACCCCCAAAGAAAAATAACCACCAAAAGTGGAAAGGGAAAGATGAGAAGCCTAAGGCAAAGGGCTCAGAAACTGAATGCTATCGTTGCGGTGGAAAAGGGCATTGGGCAAATATTTGTCGTACACCAAGACATTTGGTTGAGCTTTATCAAGCATCTCTAAAGAATAAAGGCCTTGAAGCCAATTTTGTCTCTGACAATGATTTTGACATCACCCACTTGGATTTGGCAGACTTCTTTGAGCACCCTAATGGGATAATAGACCATTTGATCGGTGATGGATCCGTGGTTAAAAATGATTGAGTAGTTTGATTTTTATTTTATCCTATTCAAAATAGCTAGTGGGTAAGCATCATGTAATCACACTTATTTACATGAGTAGTAGTCATTAGTATCAATTAGTATTATTTATTTTATGAAATAGCTTTAGTTCGTTTATATTAAATATAGTTCTAGTATTCGTTTTACACAATGTTTCAGTAAGGGTACAAATACATTTCTTATTACTTCTTATATTGGAATGGTTACATATTTTTTTTAGGGATAACTTAGTACTTCTGGCCTCATTACTTAAGTTTTACCCGGAGACTTCCAGGTGTCCAAATTGAAGCACCACGTGGGTTTAGTTTTCCCTAAACCCTTTTGCCTTCTTCTCTCTATCTCAATTCAACATTTTCAATTTCCAGTCTCTCTGTCTATCGCTTTAATGTCTCTCTTCCTGGTCAGTTTTCCTTCTTCCTCCACATAATTTATTGCTCAATTTTTGGCTTAGTATTTTAATCTCTCTTCAATTTTATCTTTTATTATTGGGTCTTCTAAAGATGAACATCACTTCTAATTTTGTAATCTTATAAAGAAATGGACACCTTCTTCGCGTCTTTCTCTGTTTTCTCAGCAATGTATGCGCTTTTCTTCCTGTTTTACAATATAATTTTTGACATCTTAAACTTTTGGGTAGCTTTTGGTCTTGAGTTATCTTTTGGGGAGTTCTCTTTTCTTAGCTCTAATTTTTCTTCTGAGTTTTTGCTTTCAATCTTCCTTATTTATGCTTAGTCCTTCTTTATTTTAGATTTAGGATATGGAATTTTTGCATACTTGATTCCGAAGACGCTGCATTCTTTTAATTTCTCTGTTTTGTCGCCCTATCTTGGATATGCATGCTATGATTTGTCATATATGGTGTAGCTTGACATTGTGCAGTAGTTGGAGCTATTCCAGAAATGAGAGAGTTATAGGCACAACCTATGTTGTCTGGCCCTTCCCTTGTGTCTCAATAGTGTATATTGGTGTTTACAAATGGGTTGCCACTACTCAGCTTGGCCGCCAAGACTTTTGTTGCCTGGACTACTAATCATTGGCTATGAGTAAGTCTCAGTTTGCTTGTCTGTTTCTAAATTTATATTAATTGTGTTTTTCTTTGGAAAAGTTATTTTGTTTTAGAGTCGGGGGTTAATATTTTGTCAACGTCGCTAAATTTGAGTGCTTGATCAAATGGAGACATAATATATATAATCAATTTATCTTTTTTGTTTCTTGAAGTTTTATATTGTGTCAGTTTCAGTTTCATATCTAAGGATTTAGACACATAAGAGCTTTGATATTGTTAAATTTCAGTAGGCATTAGGTTCTTCATGCTTTAAGTTAAAGCTTTATCTGAGATGAGTCATACACATAGGCCCTTTCATAAACAGTGTTGCTTTAGGTAACAACTTGGCTATGTAAAAATATTTAGAATTCTTGTTTCTGGAGTCAGAGTTATGCAATTATTCCAGATCTGTTACTTTTGCTTGAGGTCTGTTCTCTATTCTTTGCGCTTGCTGCTTTTCAGGAATAAATTTTAGTCTTTTCACTTGTGTTATAAAGGAGTAATAGACAAAAAAATTGTGATTATTTTGTTGTTGACTGAAATGTTTTGAATCAGATATGGGCGATTACTTCTTTCTGTTTTAATTTTCCAGGTTGATAGAGCTATTTTTGAAAATCTAAGGACAAGATAATGCACCTAACATATGCTAGCCAAAATTGAGATATATCGGAAATCCAGTAAGTTGATTCTTCTTCTATTTGGCTTTGTTTATCAAGAAAAATTGATATATGTCTGAAGGTTTCGGGGGCATTATAGTAGTTGAAATTATCTTGACTTGCAAATGAAAAGTTAAAAATAATTTACCCCAAAAGGAAGCTTTTCAGTTTCACTGAAGACAATTAGGCAAATTATTTAAAAGACATGCAACCTTGCATTGATATAATGACTTCTCTGTCGTGTCCGCTGAATTTGTTCTGTGTGTTTTTTCTATTATATTAAAGTAATATGTAGCTAGCATACCACTCAATATTAAGATCTTAGTACTTTTCAAATAGTTAAAACCCCATATTGAAGGGTAGTGAATTTGAAAGAGTAGCAAAGACCCTATAAAATGAGCAACACATGTAAAAATGATACTGTCTCATTCAATGAAGAGATTAGTATAACTAGAAATCTGTTTATGCTCCTTTTGGTTACTTAACTGCACAGAAATATGGTCTTGTTTTTTTGGTTATTTAACTACACTTTGACAGAATAAAAATTATTGATACCTCCCTCGGGGATTTTGTGGTTCTGGTCTTCCAAGGAATACATGTATTCCTTTGCAACTGAAGTTGCCAGGTTACTTTTTCTGGTTATGCTATCAATAAAAAGGGGAAAACATCTTGTGAGGTTGTTATGAGTATGAAATTATGGAAAGGTAATTACTTGCTAAGAATTGGATTGGACTTGCTTATAATTAACTCCATAAATTTTTAAACAATGTACGCCTGATAATTGTGCTAACATCAGTCTTTAAATAATTTGTTAATCCGAAAATATTATTTTAAAGAGTACAAAATTCTTAGTCTAGGATTCTCATAAGTGTAGTTAACTTAGAACCATTTTGTAGTTTCTATGATGAATTGGTGAACCATGGGTATTGGTTGGACTTGCTTATAATTAACTCCATGAGTTTTTGGAGAATGTACAGAAAAAAACCGATAACTGTGCTAACATCAGTCTGTAAACAATTTGCTAACCCGAAAATATTGTTTTAAACAGTACAAATTTTTAGTCTAGGGTTCTCATGAATGTAGTTAACATAGAACTTATTTGTAGTTTCTATGACAGAATTGGTGAATGCCTGAATGGTTATGTAGGTAATCACAGGGTGCCATTACTGTAGGAGATATCAGGGACATCGGCAATAAACTAAAAAACTTTTGTTACATTCCAAGACTATCAGCCTTATTGTTGTGGGTTCGACTCTCCAAGTTACCATATAAAAAATATTAATCTCCCGAGATTGTCAATTATATGTGAACTAAAAGGTATCATTTGAAGATGAAAAAGTGCTTGTTTCAGGTCCTTCATCTAGCTCCGTTTTTCACTCAACCTATTTCACAACCCACTGCAATCACTTCAACAGCTACTGAACTTCATAAAGTTGCAAATTCTCAAGCTCTTAGTGAGGGTCTTCTTTGCGACAAATGAAACATTGAAAATAGCAATAGTAAACATAGATATGATTTTTCCAATGGTAGATCCAGAGGTATTATGTATAGTTCATTACTCACTTCAAATAAGGTCCTTGGAGAATGCTTGTTAGTAATGGTACCAAAAAAGGCCATATAGTTGCATGTTTCTATAACTTCTGGGATAGTGACGTTAAGTTTTCCGGTCCCTTCTTTGTGAATTATCCTTCTGGCAAGGGAATTGCTGGTGTTACCACTTAGCTGATCCAAAAATGCAATTGTTAAATGTTTCTTCTGCAGCAGCATCCATATGTTCTTTGAGTATATTCTGGTCTTGATGTTTTCTCGTTTCTTCTTCCAGCTGTAAAATTTCTCTGTAGACCCTCTATTTCAAGCTTTTTCCTCTGAGTCATTGTTGTTGTTGCATCAATGATTCTACTATATACTGACGAGTTCATATTCTTCTATCCCTTTCTTTGTGAGTTAGGTAGTCATGTGCTCTGCAATTTTTGTTACATTTGAAAATCATAAATTTGATAGTGGTGAATTAGTACTCAGTTGGTATTTCATGGTTTGTTTAATAGAAATATCATGCATTTGCTTCTTTAGTGTTGCTTAAGTTCTATAGCTGCAGGTTTTGGTATTTGCTTCTTTAGTGTTGCTTAAGTTCTATAACTGCAGGTTTTGGCATTCTGTGGAATGCTACTGCAAAAAAAAGGCTTATAACAACAAACAAAGGCTTGTGGACTGATGGACTTTCAAAGAAACCATCTTCTTTTGTCCAATGTGTAAATAGGTTCTCATGTAAACAAGCTGAAAATGTACTTAAGGAAGCGAGCTCAACAATGTACCATGTTACAAGTACATATAATCCTTGAGGTATCTTGTACAACTTTGTTACTCAGTAGATACATATAATATAAAGCAATAATATATTCTGAACATTTAATTAGATCGTTAGTATTACTTACTTTATTAGCAATCATGCTAAAAGATTAAAAGAAGAACAAGAACATTCTCTTGATGTTAAACCTTTTTGATAATTCTGTTCAAATAAGAAAAAATCGAGGTGGGGAATCTGCCCGTGCTGTGCACGGGCACCGGCATCTAGTGTAAGAATATGTAAGTATTCACGTTGTTAACAGAGATATGGACTGAATGGTATACCGTATTCCCACTTTTATTTTGCTTTAAATTTATATAGGTACATGGTACTTTAGAAGAATTATTTTCAAATATTACCGTGTGTGAATATTTTAAACATGTTTTAAAGCACTATGATAGTGCTTTATCCTGTGTTTATAATAATAGTAAGGTTTGTTTCTTTTCTCTGTAATACTAATTTTTATTCATATATTTCTTTTTGTATGTCAGCCCATGAGAAGCAAATATGGATATCTCACAAAGCAAATTTGGATAAAAGTTCAATTGTAAAAATAATTGATTCATGTACGACACATACAATATTCAAAGAGAAGAAATATTTCTCTCATTTAAGTATGTGTAAGGCAGATGTTACTACAATTTCTGGTAGTAGTAATCTAATTGAAGGCTCTAGAAGAGTTACTATAACTCTGCCTAAGGGAACAATATTTATCATAGAGAATGCAATGTTCTCCTCCAAGTCCAAAAGGAACTTGTTGAGTTTTAAAGATATTCGTCGAAATGGATTCATATTGAGACAATAGATGAGAATAATCTTGAATATCCCATCGTTACTAAAAATGTCTCTGGCCAGAAAAGGGTTATTGAGAAGTTCCCATCTTTATCTTGTGGCCTGTATTGGACATGAATTAGTGAAGTTGAGGCACATTCTATCATAAATCAAAAGGTTACCGATTTTAATACTTTTGTACTTTGGCATGATCGATTAGGACATCCTTGATCAATTAAGATGAGGCAAATTATAGAAAACTCAAAAGGGCATCCATTAAAGAATTTAAAGAGTCTTTTAAATAATGAATTTTCTTGCACTTCTAGTTATCAAGGCAAGTTAATTATTAGACCATCACCAACAAAGGTTATGATTGAGTCCCCTGCGTTTTTGGAACGTTTACTAGGGGACATTTGTGGACCTATTCACCACCTAGTGGGTCGTTTAGATATTTTATGATCTTAATAGATGCATCTTCTAGATGGTCTCATCATGTGTGCCTATTGTCATCTCGTAACCTCACATTTGCAAAATTAATGGCACAAATAATTCGATTACGGGCACAATTACCCGATAATCCAATTAAATATATTAGACTTGATAATGTTGCTGAGTTTTCATCCCAAGCATTTAATGATTATTACTTATCAATTTGGATAAAAATGGAACATCATGTAGCTCATGTTCACACTCAAAATACCCTTGCTGAGTCTTTAATTAAACGTCTGCAATTGATAGCAAGACCATTACTCATAAAAATAAGGTTGCCCACTTCTGTTTGGGGTCACGCCATTTTGCATGGAGCAATGCTAGTTCGTCTTAGACCGATAAATTATCATAAATATTCTCCGTTGCAATTAGTTTTGGGTCATGAACCTAATATATCCCATTTAAGAATTTTTGGATGCGTAGTATATGTGCCTGTAACACCGCTATATCGCACCAAAATGGGCCCCCAAAGAAGGTTAGGAATATATGTTGGGTTTGAATCGTCCTCCATTATTGGCTACCTCAAAACATTAACGGGGGATTTGTTCACTGTACGATTTGCAGACTGTGTCCAAAATTAGGGGGAGTAAATGGTAAAACCAAACGAAAAATATTGTGAAAAATTCATTGTTGTCTCATCTTGATCCACGTGCCTCTATTTGTGAAAAAGAGGTGCAAAAGATTATTCATTTGCAAAAAAATAACAAATCAAATACCAGATGCATTTACGGATCTGAAAAGGATAAGAAAATCGCATATCCCTGTAGAGAATGTTCCAATCCGTATTGATGTCCATGTTGGACATCTTCTAGTGGCATAACTAATGAGTCAAAAGCACGCCTAAAACGTTGCAGACCATTAGGTTCTAAGGATCGAAATCCTATAAAAAGGAAAACAAATAATCAAGATGACACTAAGAAAGAGTCTCATGAAGAAATCCACGATTTAACCAATCCTGAGATTCATGAGGAAATCATTGAGCCTGAGACTCAAGAAAATAAGGAACTATCAATAAATTCATCGATATTGAAACATATTTGAATTGACTGGATATAGTGGGGGATTATATCTTTGTATATAATATTGCATCTAGCATTATGCAAGATAGTGATGATCTTGAACCTCAATCTGTTGGAGAATGTCGACAAAGACTTGATTTGCCAAAATGGCAAGAAGCAATCCAATCAGAGTTGAATTCACTTGCAAAACGTGAAGTTTTTGGGCCTGTAGTCCAAACCTAATGGTGTTAAGCCTATTGGCTATAAATGGGTCTTTGTACGCAAGAGGAATGAGAAAAATGAGGTACAAAGATGTAAGGCACGCCTTGTTGCACAAGGATTCACAAAAGCCTGGTGTCAATTATGAAGAGACATATTCATCCGTTATGGATGATATAACGTTCCGTTATTTCATTAGTTTTGCTGTCCATGAAAAGCTTGACATGATTTAATGGATGTGGTTACCACCTACCTTTATGGCCCACTTGATAATAAGATATACATGAAAATTCCCGAGGGATTTAAAATGCCTAACGCATATAATTCAAAGTCATGGGAAATGTTTTCAATCAATTTGCAAAGATCTTTGTATGGTCTAAAGCAATCAGGACAAATGTGGTATAATCGTCTTAGTGAGTATTTATTAAAGGAAGGTTATATAAATGATACCATTTGCCCATGTGTTTTTATAAAGAAAACAACATCGGAATTTATTGTACTTGCCGTATATGTTGATCACATAAACCTTATTGGAACTCCTGTAGAACTCCAAAAGGCAATTGATATTTAAAGAGGAATTCGAGATGAAAGATCTCGGAAAGACAAAATTATGTCTTGGTTTGCAAATTGACATTTGGCAACGGAATTTTGTTCATCAATCTGCCTACACAGTAAAAGGTATTGAAACGGTTTTACATGGATGGAGCAGATCCATTAAGTACTCCGTGGTTGTTCGATCACTTGATGTGAACAAGGATCCATTCCGACCTCAAGAAAAGAATGAAGAGCTACTTGGTCCTGAAGTACCATATCTTAGTGCAATTGGTGTACTCATGTATCTTGCCAATACTACAAGGCCTGACATAACTTTTTCAGTTAATGTCTTAGCAAGATATAGCTCTGCTCCCACAAGGAGACATTGGAATGGAATCAAACACATATTACGGTATCTAAAGGGACTATCGATATGGGCTTATTTTATGGCAACAATTGCAGTCCCGATCTTGTTGGTTATGCTGATGTTGGGTATTTATCTGACCCACACAAGGCTCGGTCTCAAACAGGTTATGTATTTACCTGTGGAGGCACTG